TGTGTCTTTATTTTTATTTATTTTCTTTATAAGCAAAATAAAATTTATGAAAGAGCTATATTCACCAAATCAACCACCAAACATAATCGTTGTAAATATAACTTCGCCGAAGCGACTAATTAGTTGTTGCGACGTCTTTTTGGGACTTAATGTGTTCGTTATATATGCTCAATTCACGTACATATGTCATTGAGGATTCAGCGTCAATTATTTTCGTCTTATTCAAGTAGTATCAGTGGCTGTCTGAGGTAGTTTGTTTGTTCGTGGTTACTAGTCGCCTTACCATAATCAACATCAAGAAACTTAGGCTCGTCTACATTGGTTTTTGGGGGCCATGGTTTCATTTACAGACCTATTTTCCTTTGCGACGGGCCAGAAGCTCTTTCTAGAGTAGTAGTACCGTTGATGGTATTCGATTGTCTTTAATACTTTGTTTGACATATCAAACAATTGCAGAAAATACGTTGCATCTGATTTTTCAACGAGTTTTCTAGAATTTTTATTTGCTGTACGGCGTATATTCTTTCAGTCTAGAACGATCCGACGCTCCCATGTACCAGACCCAAAAAGACGGATTTTATAAGCTGTGTAATCGACGTGTATACTTGGTTCGAGCATTTTCAAGAATAGTATAATACTTTATTACCTTCCTTTAAAAGGTCTTAAAATGGTATTGCATCAAAAAACCTATTTAAAACTTGCTGACCCTTGGGCAGACGCGGAGAAAAGCGAAAACTTGAAGAAAGATAGATAGTGCCGATTAAACGGATGAACCCTCGCGTATAGGAAGTATATACGACCTTTACACAGATTTCTTATATTTATGAAAGATATAGAGAACGAGCAAGGATGAACTTCATATGATACGTATATGAACGTGATTTATCATAGGAGACTTTTGCGAGTCGACTTGAAAAATAAAGGAAATTAGTTTGGATCTTCAACAGTAATAACAAAGTTTGTTTTTTTTCAGTAGCTTCAACGATACGTCAAATTAAAACAATTTATATGAAATTTATGATGAAAAGTTTATTTGATAGTTGAAAAATCAAAAAAAAATGTCAATCCAACTGCTGTTAAGCTCTTCGAAGTATAAACTATTCAATCATATTAGAAACTATTTTGAAACATTGGTGATTAGGACAAAAATTGAAATTTATTTGAAAAATGGAATTAAAACTAAAAATTGGCTAACGATGCCGTAGAAAAAGTTACGAAACGTCAAAAATCTACCGTTTTTTCAGAACGCCGAAATTTTTCGCCACTTGTGACATGAACTTGATCAACTTGATGCAACGGTATAATAGTTGTTGCGCAGCAGCCTCGTTGAGTTTTTCTAAAAGCTCACTCGAATATTTTTGAAAAGCCCGCAAGAACCACTTAATTTTCAGACTGCTCTTCATTTTTCATCGTACAGCACAGACCGACAAGAGTCAACAAAGATCTCAAAATTACAATTATGTATCAATTAACTCGATGGGTTGAAATTCGCTGAGCCACGCGGAGTAACACGCATACAGCCCAAATAGCCAAACTTGATTGCCGCGTGATGAAAGTTGGCCCGCACGCAGCGAAGAGCGAGCAAAATTACACGCGTGCAGAGCTGCGCGCATAAAATTAATTTAACGCGAGAGAGTAAGAATTTCCAACGAGCTGGAGTAGTGGCGGAAGCTGGTAGTTAACAGATGTAGAAAAACGACCTTCAATATACACGTATACTTAAAGTAAATTCGATTAAAATGTGTTTCGTGGATGTGTATAATATGTATATGTAGGGCGACACAGGCGTCGCACACTCGGGACAGTGTATTAGAGCTGCCGGAAAAGAGTGGCGCGCACTATATGCACATTCCCAGGAGATATCGCGTACGAGCTGCTAGATACACACCAGCGAGACGACACTATGTCACGCCTCACTCCGTGTATATAGCTCGTTTTCTCTTCTGTCTCTCCGGCTCTGCGCGCACATACATATATCGGATACGTATACGTTACATAAGTATATGCTCCAAAGCCATTTGGGCGTGAGCAGATTTCCTTTTTTTTTATCCTGCGTTTCGGGATTCTTATTTTCGTTTTTTGCCCCTGTTCAGGTGAGATAGGAAAAAAATAGACGACAGCGCGAAAAGATGAAGAGAAACAGATACGTGTGCAGGCGGCCACGCAGGCGCGTGCGAGGGAGTGGGAGAATTTTAACCATGAAATTAAGATGAGTAATCTAGATAAGGCAAGCGAGAGAGCGCAAGAGTAAGTTTTCAAATAACACGTATACGCAGCTGTATATAAAAGTTGGATGCTTGTATGCATATCACGGTTGATTCATAAAGTATAATGTTTATCTGGCCGGGGCATTATTGCCCGCTTGCATGAAGCTCGAGCTGTTTTAATGCTCGAAATATCGATTTTCGACTAATTTATCCCGACACCGACAACAATTTTTCATGCTTACCGTGGCCTTTTGCATTTTTCAATGAAAAAATACCAACTTAACTGTTGAGTGAGAGATTTATGAAAATTATAGTAATGTCAAGCACTACTTGTCCTCGATTGTACTTTTAAGCAAAAAGAACATAAGGCCTCGGTGTACAAACAAAAAATAGTTAAAAGCTGCGAATTAACTTTTTTCTAGGTAAATTTATCGCAGATCGAAAGATGTTGTTGCGGTCAAAGAACATTCCACAAACAAGTTAATTCTTTTGTTTTTAATGGATGCGAAATTCATTCCGAATAAACAAATTTCATAGCAGCTGAGGCCAAAAACAAAAACACAATTTTCTTTCAACTTTCTAGGCTCGAGTAAGCTTCAGCATTTCCATTTATTTTACGAAAATAAAATTTAAAGCTTTCCAATGGCTGGGGCGCAAACTTCCATTCAACGGGGGTATAGAGAAAAATACTGCATTACAGTAAAAATGAAAAGCATTACAACGAAACGCACCTGTTTTACGGATCCGTATAATACGTTAGCTTCGTGACAGGCAAAGTTGCCCTTCTACTTCTCGGTTATATATGGAGAAAAAATAAAACTATCATCGAATACAATCGCACATGGCAATCGATTTATAAAGGAAAAAAAGGAAGAGCGAATGAAATTGATTATCAACGAAAAAAATGTTCGTACAGCACGTGACTAAACTTCGAAATAATGGAAAAATTTTACTGCTATATACAAAATGTATATAGCAGTTATTTTTATTGGTTTATGTATCTAGTCTCGAACATGCTTAATTATCTTGTTATTCAGAGCGTGCGCAGAGGACAGAGGAGAAATACAGAGAGTTTCTAGCTTTTAAATTGGATTCTTTTATTTACACGATATATTAAATACGCGCAAATTGAGCTCGGGAATTCGATGGATTTTTGGAGACATTAATGGGGTTTATCGAGACTCGTATTAGGTAATTCGAAACGACGAGAATCGATCCCCGGCGATCGTGCAAAATTGATCCAGCCCTTTTGAAAGTACATGTAGTAACAATAACGAATATAAATCGCACTTAGCTTTGAGCTGAATTACCTCTCGTCTTTCGTGAGAAAGTAATCAAAGCCTATGGTACTTCATATCTATAGACATATAACTGAAACTTTCGGCAACCACAAAGCGACGTGTACGCCGCGTATGTATGGCACTTTCACTGCTTGAAAGTACGTCAACGATTTTAGCCCACGGTAAATACGGGATGGAGGAGTTCCGTGGCCCAAATTAAGTAAGCATATAGTGTAGGGCTGAGTGTGTGAGTGTAAGTGTGTGTGTGTGTGTACGTATACTTAAATCGGCGGTGCCGCGACTACGACGACGACATCGACGTCAAAGCTTTCCGAAGCAAGCGACTTTGGACAAGTACTTAGATGTGCGTACGTATGTAGTTGGAGAGTGGAAAATTTACCTTTGCTCAAACAAATTGCTGCGAGGAAAGAGCCAGGCAATCGAAACGATATTTTTAATCGGTCGAGTCAATGTTTTCGGTTCTGTGCGCCAGCGTGATTTTAAGAAAATAGAAGCATGTTATTTCACGGGCAAGCGCGTTTTAATCCGCCGCTTCGAATGTTTTAATACCCCACATGCGAAATATCGAAACGATTTTCCAGAGATATACCATCATTCTCTATTTAGCAGCTAATTTGTTTCTCTATTTTCGCCGAGCTACCTGTAAGCAATGCATCCGTGGTCAATGCTTAACGTTAATGATCGGAACGTAATTATACGAATACAATATATAGCCGTAAGCAGAATTGATACGAGCTAATCATGATTTTTGTTAATTAATATGACATATCGAATTGGCATTAAATTACATAGTCGACGAATCGAATGATTCGAATCACGAATCGATGTAGACTTTTCCGAAAAAATCCACCAGAACTTGAAGTAAAACAAAATATGTCTCTCTCTCTCATTCACGAACTGTGTCGCGATGTATGATGCATATACTAGGGGAAAAAAAAAGAAATTTCAACGCCGTTTCATCATCAGCGTTGCCGCGCGTTAGTGCACGAAGCGGGTATTCACACTCGTCTGACACATTCGTAACATTTATGAGACAGGTCTGGATCGTTCTTTTCTGCGCGCGGGTGCGTACGCTCGCGCCAGTGTACAATACAGTATATAATGTAAATGCTGCCAAGGGACCGGAGCGTCCAGTATTTTTTGTAAATTTTTCGCCACGGCTGTGCAGTAACCATTTCTAACGGCGCGCCAGCCAGGCTGTTTGTCATACTTTCCCCTACTGCAAAATTCATGAAAATGCAATCGGCTTATATGTATATATATATATAGATTTTTTTGCGCTAAAAAAGAAACCAACTTATAAACATTTATTTTTCCCTTTTTTTGTTCAAATTTAATAGAAATAATATTTGTCGGAGAAAGCTGCTTTTTTTGCACGCGACGTCGTAAAAAATTCAATTCTCCCCGTAATGGTAAATAATTCGAGCTTTGCGCGCGAATCCATTTCTCCTATTAGTTGATAATAAATAAAACGAATGTGCGTTCGTTGCAGGTGACGTGGATCCGCCGGAAGAAAGATCAGCGCGAGCTGCTGACCGTCGGCCTGCAGACGTACGCGAGCGACGAGCGCTTCCAGGCTCGTCACTTTCACCACAGCGAGGACTGGACGTTGGAAATCAAGTACGTGCAGCTGCGAGACGCCGGACTGTACGAGTGCCAAGTTTCCACTCACCCACCCACGAGTATCTTTCTCAGGCTCGAGGTCGTCGGTAAGTCCGTATGATTAATTGCGTCCTGCTCGCCCGATGTTATGGAGGCTTGATTTTGCTCATTTTATTTGCGCGAAATTTAAATAGATGCTGTGCCCGACTAAACTCGATCTTGACTACTTACTACTTTTCATTTCGTCAGAAATTCCTGTACTGTTTCTGCACCGACAGAAAATTTTAATTTTCTGACCACATGGAATTACATTCATCGATCTCGAGCGAGGGTATGGATAATCAATGGTACAATTGTTACTTCTGGCCTTTGTACCTCGGCAGATTCAAACAATAATACAGTGATTGGCCAGTGCCAGCTAGCAGTGCGCGCGCGAGAGTCTGCTTTTACAGTGCACGGCTCTCTATAGCTATCCCAGTAAAATCCTGTGCGGTAATGCACGCGGCGTAGCACCGCTCCTACTTTTCCAACATTATCATCTCCTCAAATCCCCTTTTTCCGGCTGGTCTGTAAAAAATATCATAGCTTCGTAAAAAAATCCAGCAGCGTACAGGTTGTTTATTTTACAGATATCATCTTTGACTATATAGTAAAATTTTTATGCAACTAGTCGTAAAAAATTTCCTCGAAAAGTTTCAACGACCTTCTCTTCTGCAGCATTGTTAATTGACGCAGAGTCTCTTAATTCAACATTTATTTGGGAGCCTCGAGGGTAGGTCTGCTCGTCCACGTGCACACACACACACACACACAGCTGCAACGCGTAATAAATCCTACACCAGCTGTACATACCTTCATAAATATATTTCATGAGATTATCCAGTATATATAGGCTCCTACTTTGCTCTAACTGTATTTAATTCCTCGTCTTGCGTGTTTCGCCTGCGACTCTGTCCGTGTACATAAATACTCTCCCCCTCTATGTACACACTCACTCACTGAAATGCAGAGAAAAAGAGAGGAGAGGAGAACGAGTTGTCTTACGGTGATTTACTCGCCTTTGAGAAATAAAGAGTAAGACGTATTGTTTCCATTCTGTTGCTCTCACTGTCCTCTTGCCAGCGTCCAACCTTTTTCGCTCGTTGCTTGCGTTTATATACATATAACGTGTAGCTTTCCTTTTTGCCACTTTCTTTAGCCTCCTTTGGGAGGGGAAACGTATTTTCGTTTGGCTGCTCGCTTCTTATTCTTCTCTGCGGTGAGTGAGAAGAGAGCATTTTTTCAGCTTTCCTCCTTCGGTTTTTTTTCTTTTTTATTCTCTTATCGAGGAACGGCACGGTGGTAGAATGCGCAACATCGGCATCGAATTTCAAACGCGTCGAATTTCACTCAGAATCCTCGGAGGCATTTGAAAAAATCGCTCTTATACGCACCCGCATGTTGCTTACGTATAAATGTACTGTGCAATTATGAAGATTATCGCGTCAAAGACAGAACGTATACAGTAACTGCCAGAGGACTCTTTAGCGCTAAGCTTAAAAGCTTCTACTGTTTGTTTTGGTATTTTTAAGAAATCGTTTCAAGTCTAAATAGGAGACAAAAAACTTGAAAACTTCATTTCCAACCGATGTGCTACTAAAACAGTAAGAGCTGGAAATTTTGAAGTAAAAAATATCGTGAATGACAGCTTTGTTGTTATAGGGAAAAAATCTAAACGCAAATATAACTACGATACAAAATGCCTCTAGGCATGAATGCTGTCGGAAAAGCGATGCAGAAATTCGATAAAAGATTAGTAATCGGTGCACGCAGTTGTGCAGAAAGAGCTTTCGAGGGAGCACAAAGAAATTTGCAAAGTAAACGCCAACGTTCGCGATACCGGCTAAAAATCATCCGCGTGCGTCGTTTTTGAATACACCTCGAGAGAGAGCAAAAAAGTATCACCGAACACGAGTAATTGTCCAAGCGAAAAATAATTGCTCGACGTAAGAACGGCAATGTTAAAAAACACGGCGCGCAACCTGCTCTGTTTACATTGGGAGCTAGAAACTCTGCGGTTGCGGGGACTCTACAGCTGCCATCTGCATTATATTTACTCGCGCGCGCGTGTGCGCGGACGCAAAAGCAACTCGTCTTGCCGCAAACTTTGATCAAATGTAAAAGAGAATATGTTATATAACTCATCTGGCGATGTTTTCTTTTTACTATGCGTGTGTATATAAGCGCGCAGTCGCTGCTCTCCGAGTGCTCTCGGAGCAAAAAAGTGGAATATTTTAACAATTCCACAAAAGTCGTATATCTAAGATATATACATATGAAAATCGCGAGCTCGAGTTTTACGCGCCCCGCCACTGTTACTCCGTGTGTTTGTATCAAAAAATAAAGTTACTCGCGCGCGCGCACCGGCTCGTTATTAAAAATTGATGAAAGTTTTTTACCGTATTTTCGTCGCAGCGCGCAGGCAGCAGATATAACTTCATCAATATTCATAAAAATGCAGGCGAACTCGTCGATATTCGCGAGGTTTTATTCAGCCTCGAAATAAAACCCGTGCGCGCGTCAGAGAAAGAGCGCCGCATCCGATACAAAATATACGAGAAAGAGAGCCGGAGAAATCAGGCGCGAGTATACTTACAGGCTCGAATTAGCCGGCATCTCACGTGGCCGATAAAGGTAAGTATGATTAACGTCGTTGGTGGCGCTAGCAGGCAACGGCTACATAAAGGCGCGCACTGCACCGCTGTCTGATTTACGACGTCGCGGGAGGGGGGCTGAAGGGGGGGGGGGGGGCAAGAATTAATTATTCCACGGCGCGCCAAGCCGCGAGAAACGATCCCTTGTGGGATTTGTCGCTACCGCGCGCGATTTCTTCCACGCACGTTCCTCTCCCTGCTGCTTCTACTGCTGCTGCTCTCGAACCGAATAGAGATGTATATTCCGCGCTGCTCGCTCTGCATTGGGAATTAAGAGCCGAGACGCTGGCGCGCAGATGCTCTTTCGCAAATGTGTGTACGATCTATAGTCTCGAGCGTAACTCGCTCTCGCGCGCGGCGCAGTATGGAAACTTCGTTATACCCCGGCGCACGCATACTATGTACTTGCTCTCGGAGCCACGTAAACATTTCATGGGGGGGGGGGTGAAGGGTGCACTCGTCTCTCTCTCTCTACGCGAGTTTAATTACGGATAATGAATCATTTCGCTGCTGCGACTACGTGATGAATGAGCTACTATGTTTGATGAGCGCGCGAATACTCGACGCGATGCTCGCGAACACCTAGACATCTTTTGTTCAACGACCTGTATCGACGTGCTGCTCTTCCCGAGGCCTCGACAATCCATGCGTAAATTTTACGCATAAACAGCCGCGAATTAACTTTTTCGCGTATCCGTCCCGAGTCTTATATTCTGCGCACTGCCACGAGGACTTTCGTTTTTCCATTGACTCTGCAACTCCTCTTGTGCTCGCTGCTCTTGCATTGGCCTCGAAATATCATTTTTCTTATTATTCTTATCGTATAACATTTCATGTTCAACGTATAACCTACGTCCTTCGTTCGATCTAATATTTTCATTATTTCCATTTCTTATTTTCCAGTTACTTTTTTGATTCGTAAGTTCAACTGACCCTTTGAAGAAATGAAATTGCAGCCTTTATTGGTATACTGACACTTTTACTGTCTTTTTATTGCAGTCATAGAAAAGTCTCATAAATGAAACAGTCGATTTGTAGCATGTAATACAAATATCAACCGTAAAAATAAAAATTAATTAACTTGCACTATCATAGTTATTACACGTATTATAATTATTTTATTTAACGTTTTAATTAATACTTCTACGTAAGAGTAGGCTTTCTTCATACGTAAAAACATAATTACAATTATCAAATATTATTATAAATCAATAAATTAAACAATACTTACATTGGGACCTAAAATTTTTTTCTTTTTAAGATCGTTAACAATTGTTGTTAGTACTGAATTTCAAGAACTATCTTGAAACGTTTGACAATTGTTTCTGTGAATCTACTTAATAACTTGTATTAGCTTTAATATTTTGCCTGTTGATTTTTTAATATTTCTAAATATTTAAAAAATTTTCTCGAGCAAACGAGGTAAACAAAAAATTTTTAGCAATTTTTGTAATATTTTAGAAAACTCGTAAAGAAGATTTAACATTTCTTTTGGTAACTTTTGGTGCGTTGCGGATAAAATAAAGCAAAAGAAAAAAAATTAAATAAATAAAAAGCGTGGATCAACGCGTCAAAGAACTCTTGCAGGTTTTCTCTTTACGTTACGCTCAAAGATTTTAACGTTAAATTAGAGCAGAGCGAAATCATCTCGTCTTTTTCAGCGTTGCATATAATTTCCGTTTTGATGCGAGTTGTCAACGCGAGCTCTATTTAATTCTTAATAATTTATAAACGCTACTCCAGCGATGTCGAAAATATGCAAATATCACAGTTTTTGTTAACTTTTTTCAAGTTATCCGTTTTTAAAAACACGAAATAACTATAAAAAAATGAATAACTAGGATGACAATTGTAATTGACACATCTAAATTTTATCTATTTAAAAATTGTTCCCTGTTCCATTTGCTATATATTTTTATTTATTTTAATCTCGATATCTCAAGCCTTTTATTCCGCGAAAGTATTTTTTTCTATGGAAAAGCCACACATCATCAGTTATCTTTCTGAAATACGTTTGCTGATTATCTGCGTAGACTCGACATCACGTCCTGCATAAAATCGACATTCCTATCTCCATCGCCGAGTAAAATAAAACAACAAATAGATGTGTTCGTACTTGTGACACGTAATCAATCGCAAAATTTAAGAAACAGACATCATCTCTGGCTCGATGCAACTGACGCGTGCATAGAAGCGTAGCCGAATTTTTCTCACTCGAGGGCGCAACCTGCAGCGAATAATGGAATTTTCGCATCTTTAATGGTGCGAATTTCCATGTATCCTAGCTTGTACACGCGTATACATATAGAATCGCAAAAGAGAGTCTTTGGCGCGCATACCACCGCTCCCGGAAATAAGTGATCCTGTACGTGACTTGAATAAAGATCTGCGAGGCTGCAGCCAGAGCCGAGCCA